TGGTGTATGATCTTTCTGATGTACTGCTGGATCCGATTTGCTAGGATTTTGTTGAGGATTTTGGCATCTATGTTCATGAGGGATATTGGCCTGTAATTCTCTTCCATTGTGTTGTCTTTATTTGGTTTTGGTATTCCAAAACTTCAAGAGGAAGGAACACTTCCAAGCTCATTCTATGAAGCCAGCATCACCTATGCACATTTTTTAATTAGTGAGGACTCAAGGAAATATATCTTCCTTGATTTGAAAGAGAGAAACATTTATTGGTTGCTTCCTGTACACACCCTGATGGGGGATTGAACCTGCAACCTAGGTATGTGCCCTGACCAGAAATCAAACCTGCAACCTTTGGTGTCCAGGACAGTGCTCCCACCAACTGAGCTTCTTTTCTCAGTTGTTATATAGTCTAGATTCAGGTCCCTTGGGTATAGTTTGCAAACATTGTTCACCCATTCTTTGGGTGGTTTTTTTCTCGATAGTGTCCTAGAAACGTAAGTTTTTAATTTTGATGATTAGGTGTGGGGGTTTTTTGGGGGGGGTTTGGTATCACATTTAAGAGACTGTTGCCTGAACCAAAGTTATAATGATTTATGCTTAGGTTTTCTTCTAAGTTTTATAGTTTTAGCTCTTACACTTAGTCTTTGATCCATTTTGAGTTAATTTTTGTCAGTGGTGTGTGGTGTTCTGCTTGCTCTTGGATCATGGTGGATCGACTTAGCTGGTTGCACTGAACTGCAGTTCTCTGCAGGGCTGTCACATGGCCCAGTGTGTAGGGGACTTAGGATACTCACGAGATGTATAGCATTTTCACAAGCAAACAGAACAGTAATTATGCTCGGTCTGTTTCATGCATGATTTAATATACCATCATGCCATCACTAAATTGGGGTTGGAAAAAATGTTCCAAAATTGGGTGAACTTACTGCTTCTGTTTTTTATTGCTAGTTTCTTTTTTGCTTTTCTCTGCGTTCGCATGGAAGATTTTCATTTCCCTTGTGGTTCTCCTGAGCTCAAACCACTTCTCTGCCCAACCCAACTGTGTCTGCTCAGGGATCTCAGTCCCAGCGGCCTCACTCACACTCCTCTTCTCTGCTGGAGGCTCGCAGAGGTGAGGGAGCTGTAGCTGTACCTGTTTTT